CCCAACGACAACGCGAAGAGAGGAGAGCAGGAACTTTGCAACGACAGCGGCAGTGTTCAGGTCATCCTTCCGTGTCTGTCACCAATGTGCGCCACCTGCTGCTACAGTGATTCACTGCTCTTACAGCTGCTTCGCTGCAGTTTTCCCCTCGCGGTGCAACAGCAACTTCTGCAACAAGAAGTGTTTATGCAGCAGCGCATGCCTCTTATAACTGTGAGCTCACTGTTATAATGGCATGCATGCTTCATGTTTCCTCCTGCTTCAGCCCAAGGTTCCTATTTTGTTGCTGCAGCGTGCAGTCTTCGTCGTTTCAGGACGCTGTTCCTGACTTTCCTGTAGCCTGTTGCAGCGTGCGATTCCTTGACTGCTGCACGGGCTCTGCAAGAATTTGTTGCGCCAAACGTTGCTGCTGTTGTTTGTCTTGCTTCTGTTGAACTCATGCCGCAGGTAATTGATAAACAAGAACAGCAGCAACTGGAGCAACAGCGCATCCAAGACTGGAAGATGGGAGAAGCCGATGTTGCAAAGCCAGCTGCCACAACGGCAGGCTTCCAAACTGCATTCAAAAGAGGGACAGTCGAGTGTCCCTTGGCGGATGCACTTTATTCTCTGCAATTGTTGCAGCACCAGCTATCGCAAATGCAGCAGTCCCACGAAGAGCCCATCAATTTGCATGAGGAGCCTGATGCTCAGAGCACATACTTCGTGGCTGCCTTCAATCGCGAGTTCAAGGAGCTTCTTAAGGCACAGCAGCGAAAGCAGCAACGATGGAGGCGGTCACTACGACAAACAGAACCAGCAGCTATAGCAGGAGTAGAATGTAGGGGTGAGGATGGCATTCAAGCTCGTTGCAACTCGGACGCAGTGCCGCCCACATCTTGTGGGAGTGCTGTTGCAAAGCGGCCGAGGTCCTCAGGACAGCAAGATGACCTGCGGCTTCTTGCGGCAAATAGTGTTTCTGGGCGGAATATTAATGCCACAGCGAAGGCAACAGTGCATACAGTAGTTGAATACCCGAGAACAATCGACACGGATCTCAAGAGCGCTGCTGGTGCAGTAGAATCGAGATCTCCTGAGTGGGCCGCAGAGACCCCAAACGCAGGCGAAGATGCTGCATTAGCAGCAGGTGCAATAGAGTTGAGGCTACAACCTCACGAGAAGCAGCTGCTGCTCGCATGCGCAGTTGCTGCAGCGCACCCGACTCCGGGCGCATGCAGAGGGGTTTTAGAACTTCTGCAGCAGCACCACAAGCTGCTCCTGGGGCAGCCTTCGCATGGCTACAGTAAGGATATCCTGCCCTCGAATCCTCTCGCAATTGTAGATCATAGGACGGGATTTAAGCGCAGAGTGACATCCAGTCATGCAGGCAGGTCTTTGACTGGCGACTCAGCCAATTGCAGTACTTCCTCTAGCGACTCGACGTGCTCGAGCAGCAGGGTCAGCGGCATCGGGTGGAAAACAAGGCGGCATGCTGCACTAGTCAGGACTGCCCTGCAACAGCTAGAGCTTGTCAAAAACCATCTGACGGACATGCACGCAGCTCAACGGCGTCATTTGCTGCAGAAGCTGTTACAGAGGGACTTTCCGGGTCATCGCGCTTTCGCAGCTGGAGTGTTACCAGCAAACCGTGCTGCTGAGACTGTGCAGCAGAGAGGGCGCCCGGTGCACTTTCGCAGCTGCAACTGTGCACCGCTACTGCAGCTGGAGCAGCAGGAGGTTCTTTTGAGGGAAGACAGGGGTAGTTGCATTTGGTGGAGGGAGTACTACATTCTCCTTGGCGAGCTTGCCGTCATAAAGGAAAAGGCTCTCTACGAGGCAGTCGACACATGCCTACAGCAGCAGCAGCGGCCTGTTCCACAGCAGCCGATGGAGCTGCCTGTGCAAGCAAAACAGCAAGCCCTTCTGGAAGGACACATCAAAGAGTCAGTTGCGTCATCTGACAGAACCACACTTCCAGAAGAGCAGGAACCGCGGAATCTTAAGGCGTGCAATATTGGTTGCAGGCTTCACGACTCCTTGCTGCAGTCTCCACTGGCCCCTCGTAAGCGCCGGTCGGAGGTATGGTACTAAGCTGTATATACCCTGTTTTGGGCCCGAACCAAGTCCGTTGCAAACTACAGGAAATTACACGAGGAAGAAGATTTTATTCTTGACTCTTGTGGCCAAGCATGTGATTAGTGGCCGCCTAGTCTGTAGAGTTTTTAGGGGGCGTGCTGTGTGGTAACGGGATGACGCTGTAGATTGTAGCAGCAGCATACACTGTTTGCCTCCTGCAGTATCTAGTACAACTGCTACTTCCATTCGCCAATGCTACTGCAACCTCCTGGGAGATCCTAAAAGTGACTTTTGGATGAATGAAGACACTGCCCTGGCTCTTCGAATTAGCTTTGCAGTATTACACAAAGGCACACGTCGCCTGATTGCTGCAGCGGAAGTGGATAGACAACTGCAAGTGCACACAAATGTTGGAGCACCGGCGATGGATGTTGCGCTTCACTTATCTCGCACCTGCTGCTTGTGCGGAGTTTCATCGTCCTTAGCTGATTCCTGGCAGCAGAATTTTGCTTGCACCTTTTCGGAGTGGCGAAGCGCCTGGTTCGGTTGCAAGCAGCGTCGGCGACTGCTTGTTCACCTGATGCAGGCGATTGAGCGCCAATGATGCTGTAATCTGTTGGCCGTCAGGTATACGTAAACTTACAGCGGCTGCCACAAGCAACTTCACCTCCTTGCGCACATTTACGTGCCTAGGTAGACCGATACTCAAAAATTCAAAGTGAGTCCAAGTATGGTATTTCTTTATGAGGCGATGTCGTACGGGCCTGGCGGCATCACAGGCCAGGAGAAATCCTCAACGTTAGAGCATGTCCCTCCATACCTCTCTGCGCAAGTAGCAACAGCGTAAATATATACAATATAAACATCATGCTTGCACCTGGCAGAGAGTTCTTGGTTGCAACAGCACCAGGCCGAACTCGAAAAGCGAAAGCTCTGAGAACAACTCTACGCATCAGCTTGATACTGAGTTCACCTTCGATCTGATTGCGATTGATCGACGCTAGGAATTCTTCCTGCAACGCCAATCGGAACACCTTTCCCTCGAGAACAGTTATTTCGGCTGAAATTACTGTGGGAGGCGTATGGAGGAGCAGATTATGCAAAAGTGTTGCCAAAGTATGCCCCAACCCGCAGTAGATGCCAACTAATATGCACAGCATGGGCTGACACACGGAGCAAAATCTGGAAACCTCAAAAAGTTCTCACGTCACTGCACGATGATGTGAGCTTTATCTTCGACTTTGTCCTCTCCGGAAGTACAACAGACACCAGTTGCCAAATACTTCGAAATAAAAAGCCGGCGTTCAAAATCAACATTCCGTACAGTCTTCCACGGTAGTTCCTCTGTGCCACAGAAGTCGCATTAACATCATCCCTCTTCGCGTCATCAGTGTACAACGCGCTATGTTAAGTAAGCCGCACACACAATTAACGCTACAAGTTTCGCATACTCATGAACAGAGGCTTTTGTGGATAAGGAGTTAAGGCCAGAATAAGTGGTTTCCCGCCATCTACATGGTAGCTTAGCGCCTTGCTTGGTATAAGAACCTGGCCACAGTGGCCTTGGCCGCGTTCTGTACTGATTCAAACTGTGTGCGTTCACACTTTGACGCCACGAAAAACTTTGCCCGGAAAAATGCAATGCTAAGTCCTTCGTTAATGCGAAAAGAGGTATAACTCACAGTTAGCGTGTCGCAAACTTGCTTCAAAATGCCTATCGGCGCACTCGTAATACTGCAATCCTCTAAATCTACGACCACTCGCCACTGCTCCACTTTATTCTTCACCAGCAGCTTCTCCAAGGTAAATTCTGCGGCGGAGCAAGCACGTATTCACAAAACGTGAAACACTCGGCGTATACTTATCACTTCAATATTTTTGCTTCTTCATCTACTTCTAAGACTTTCGCCACTTAAAGCTTTTGATGTAACGGCAGGCGCTGAGAGGAGAGTCAGTTCTGGTACGCTGACTCCACTACTGGTTGCTCGTCATCGCAAAACACAATAACGAGGAAAATAAACTTCTACAAGCGACTGCTTGGCTGACCTAGCCAGTATATCACCACCGACATCACGTCTCCCTGTACAGAGAAACAGGCATATCAAATACTTCAGGCCGGTGGTCTTGTCCCCCCGAAAATTTCGTATTTCGTGGCTTCCAGAAAATACGTTCCCATCAGTGAACTGCAAACTACGCTACCGTGGTTGAGGTCTTGTGCTGGCAAAAACGGGACTTGATGTGCGAACAGATCCACGAGGGAGAATGGAAGAGATTTTGTGTAAAAGCCCACCATTTGAGAATCTGCTAGACTTCTGCAGCGAATGATGAGGATTGGCCGAAATGCATGGTCTCTTCCGTGAATGTAAATGAAGCCGTGAGACTACGAAGGAATACACCGGCACCAGGCAGACGACCTATCTATGGAAGATCTGAACTGGAGCAAGCTGTAACCCCTTAGCAACATGGAAAAGCTAGGAACTGGCAATTTCAGTGTCACATATACCTTGTGCGTTCTTACAACGAGATAAAATTTCCACTTTGCTAACCGAGATCTTCCAGTATGCAAACAGAAACCATCATCGAAAAGGATGACCATGCTCAAAAAAGCAAGGAGATGTAGAATTCACGCAAAACAATACGGATCACCTTGATTTTCCTATAAGACCCAACAATGTTTTAAAACAAATTTAGGGTAAAACGGCTGCTCACAAATAAATGTTCTACGTCGGTGCGTCGTGCGGGAAGGTTCTGTGCGCGCCAGTGCAAATGCCTCTTCATATCGTGAATACAACGGGCCACATCCCAGTCGTTTCTATTTGGAAAAAACGCACTCATTCACAATCCACAACGGTACAGGCATGAGGAGACAACAGCCCTTTTGCCCCAAAGCTGCTGTTTTAGCCTGAAAGGAAAGAAAAGCCGAGAGAACAAATTAATGATGGCTCTTACCCCTGAAGGAAGCGAACTGTGTATCTGTCATCTGAAAAAACGGGGGATTCCCGCAGCTCCTTGTCGTTCGCCATTGCCTGCCGCACCTCGAAGAGGCCCTCGAGCTCGTGAGGCGTTAATTCGAGATCACCGAAAATCAAACGAATGGGACGCGCGCCTAACACAGGCTCCAAGGGAGCCGAAAACGCAGAATAATCGCTGTTTAGCACCGTCATCTGTTCCTGCTGTGCCGGCGACCCGAACACCCCCTCTTTTTCGAGTGCTCGACCAACTAAAGAATTCGACCTCACTTTCAAATGCCAGGAAAAACTAATGGCTAATGGACTGAAACATTTGTGACGGCGTTGGTTCCTAGAACGCTTACCTTCAGTATCTCTGACGGCGGAGGCGTGTAGGCCAAAGCCTCCCTTGGGACCAGCGATTCATCTCGCATGGATGCATCTACGCTTAGCTGCTGGGACAAAATGTCTTGAAAACAGTCGGTGGAATTGTTGCTCCCAGCTGAGACTTGTGAGGGAGACGGAGAGGTCGACATTCCTGAGGCAAGCTCTGTGCAATAAGAGCTCATAGCATTCCAAATACACACACTCGCATGTGCGCGCAGAACTGGAAAATGCTGTCACCAAACACTCATACCTACTGTCCGGAAACATTCCTCCAGGTGGCTGCAGAATCGGCTGCACACCTGCTTAACAGAATAGGTGGATAAGGACGCGGCGCTCTTTGGGTCCTCAGTGAGAAAACCAACTACAAGCGACCCCACTGTGTGTATACTGGGGCAGCAGCTGTGTGTCAAACTTGTCCTAGTGCAGGTTCCCCATGGACTGCCACATATTAATTCATGTCCAGGCGGTGCAAATACGCCGGCCAGTGGGCTCTGTAGGCATACAGAAAAATGCGACATGCTGCTTTATGGAGAGTGAATCCCAGATCAGCATTGATACGTTTATTCGTAGGAGCTTTTATCTTCCAAAATGAAGGTCCCACAGAACAACAACGGCCATCAGTGCTCAGGAGGATATAACGATGCAGCATTCCACCAATAATACCTTAAGGAATCCAGCTCTTAAAAATTGGGACTGATGTGTGTAAATAAATAAAAAGGTTTCGTTCTCTAAGACGTCTTTGGTAAATTCCCACTGGGTGCATGCTTTGGCTGCAGGCGACTCCCGAGCAGTGCTCGCCGCATGCCTAGGGCCAGGCAGGTCTTGTGCGCTCGAAGTTTAGTTTCAGGGCAGCAGAAGGAGAACTAATTCTTTCTTGCTCTAAGTATGAGACGGAGTTATGAAGTGGCTGCTCATTCTTCTCGTGCACTTTGTACTGCGGGAATCTCTACCGCTGGCTCGCAGACAGCTGATGGTTTACAGCAGGTAATGCATAAGCGCCTCCCAACTTGGCTGTAGCTCGGAGTTTAAATAAGTCATTATCCGTCATTATAGCTTAACTCCTGAAGGGAAGCTGTTGCCAGTGTACTGGCTCAAGAGAAACTCTGCACCCAAGGCATCAATCATTAGCTCTGGGTGGTCCAGTGTGCTCACTACTAGGGAAGCGAGACATGGATGGCGGCGCATCATCTCCCGTCCCTCGTATACTTGTGGCGCAATGAGATGACGCAGTGGCTACAAAAGTACCTGTTTGTGGGGGCTTTTCTCCGTTCATGTCGCCTGCTGGCGCGGCTAACAGGTTTTCGGGGCTGTGCAGCAGAGTCTAGGCCACGGTGTTTGTCTGGCTTAGACATCAGGAGTTTTTCTCTCTCCTTGGACGAATCAGTTGTCTCCTGCATCTTTACACCCAATGAAGCCAGTAATGAGTAGGGACTTTCTAGTGCCAGCGTCAAATAAGCAGTGTTGCACTACACCGGACACAGTCGCCCCTTGATGTACTTCCTGTCCTTGGCCGCGGGGTTTCCCTCACATCCTTGCATCATTAGACAAAGAAGTGTAGGTGCCATTGCCGACTTTTTTGTAGACACTGGTTGCGCCGGAGTCTTTTGGGCGTGCTCTGCAGGGGCCCGCATCGGAGCCTGCTTGGGCTGGGTTTCTGCTCGTTTGACGTGTTTGTTGTTTTTATTGGTAGACCGCACTACTGGTCGTAGAGTATCCGACTGAATGTAGCGAGCAACCTTGTGGTCAGTCAGCCAGTATAGCCGTAGGACAAGATCAAAGGTTTTGATAATCTGCGATAAGCATTCTCACTCGGACCCGATAGTTAGCTCTACAGCTACGCCCTTCATATGTGGCTGCCCTTCATTGGTCGCAGTGAATTGGAAGGCCTTGCGCATACGACAATGCTGCCGGCGAATAATTCCTTGAGTTGACTGCACACCGCTGTTTCATTCACCTAGAGGGTGCTAAGAATCTCTTTTGCTCCCTCAAGACTCTTTTTTCTCTGCGTAGGCAAAGTAGCATAAACTGCAACGTGGTGATCAGCTCCCAAAAGTCGATTTCATATTATTACAAGCGAGCAGATCCCCTCTTGCTTCGGGTGACAATCTGCCGACAATCTACCATGTGTCCCTCCCCTTCGATTCAGCGCTCCGCACCCACGTGACTCCTCATGGAGGGACGCCTTCTGTCACTTGTGCTCGTATTAGAACTCTGAATCCTGCGAGTGGGTGTCTAGGCTCAGCGCTAATGCATTTTTCGTTTCTCCATACCTCTGATTCAGCAACCCGCCTTCCTTGCAAGTGAGCCGATTCTGCTGCTGCTTGTGTTCAGTCTTCCAAACCGACTGAAGCACCATCGATTAGCGTCATGAAGAACAAACGTGGCGGGGCAGACAAGGAGCAGCCTGCTAGCTCAGCTGCTGGCGTCCTCATCCCTTGTGCGGAATATCTTCGCGCAGTTGGCAAGTACATATTACGGTCTCAGTTGCCGATGGTTAGCAACTAGTTCGCGGACAATTCCCGGACCGCAAATGTTCGAAACCATGAATTGCTTTGGCCGTGCCGAATTTGCGAAGTCCACACCTGTACCATGAGTGGGCGCAACCCACCAGCGCATCTTCCGAACAACGTTGGTTGAGGCCTAACTTCGTGACTCTATGTATATTAGGCCTAAGGGTAGCTCCCGTATTGTCTCCCTTCTCATGACTGATCGGCTGCATGGCTGCTGGCGCTTGCCGTAGCGCACACACATTCACCTGCATGAAGTGGCTTCGGACGTGCTCTGTCTCCTGCTTCAAAAAAGCGGTACTATTGGTACGACATACCTGCAAAACAGTTTCTGCTACCCGTCTCTTTGGAGGGCCCTTTTATGATGATGAGCCCATGTCCAGGTGGTCTGGTTTTATGCGGGCAGGTGTTTTCACCTATCCTGCCTGACGGGTATTTTCTACCCTGCGCATCCCAGTGGATGTTATGTGCGCATATTGCTCGCTTGTACCATTGGACCATTACTACTGCAGTCTGGCTTGCGCGAAGTGTGTGTCACACATGCTTGATTGACTAGCCTGCTTCTGCTCATCTGCGTCATAATAATATTCCCGGAGATTTATATCTATACTGACCAAAGCATGTGTGCAGTACTACTTCCGGGTCGTCAGTAGAGTCTGAGCTGTTTGAGCGCACGATGCGACTAACGGGCGGCTATCCACCACATGTAGGAAAATGAGTGACTAACTAATAAAGTACTGTACTCTATTTTCATGGAGTTATGGTTTTCGGAAGCTCGTCTACTTCGGAGACCTGCTTTTGCCTTGACATTAGCAGCATATGCCTATCTAGGAATGTGTACCACATCTGGGTGAAGTATACTCGTAATTATGTGCTGGCGAGAGGACGCCTCAGGCAGTGGAGCTAAAACATGCTGGGATGCCCGCTGAGAACAGCAAATTGTTGAGCATCTGCCATCAATGAAAAATCTGTATATCCATTGAATTTCTTCTGCTTCTAAACAGAAGTTCACACGAAAACGGTGCATGTCATGTTCCTACCATTTTTGTGAAATGCTCGCGACATACGTTTTGCAAGGAGGAGTTCTTCACTTAGTTACATTACACAGGCAAACAAATAAATGCAATTCCTCAGACGTTCATTTCGACTGAGTCATGCCGGCCACATACTTTTGCACTCCTGGACTAGGATAATTCCGTGCTCGTATAAACGAGGGGAACACGTGGAGCTATTTTTGCAGACTTCTATTGAGCCATTCTGCGGTTTCCATATGCTGCTGCTAAACCTACTGAAGAGAAATAATGAGCTTCTAGAGCAAAACAACAGACATACACTTCGTGGATGATAATTTAGGAAGGCGTTGCTTGAAAGTTTCTTCGAAAAGACCCTTTGAAAGTAGATTACTCGTTAGTGAAAATGGATTATGAAAAAGCTGCGCAGATGCAGGCAAACACCAGGATGATGCTCACACTCTAGAGAATGACCAGAGCTCCTTGTTTGGCATTGTCACCAGAAAGCCAACGGTTTTAGGGCTTTAATCTACAGATGGAAATAGCCATCAAGCGGTGTGAGCAGCGTCAATGACTTTAAGAAGGTGCATACGAAGATTCCATTCAAATGCACAAATGCAAATGCTCACCTACACTAGCGCACTGTTTTAGGGTACAGCGAGAGGAAAAGAGAAAGTGTGGAGCTTCATCAGCCTAAATGCAAATGCACCACATCGGCCGGGTGCCCCAGAAACATTTTCTTGGGGGTCGAGTTCGGCAGGCCACAAACACTGTTGGTCTTAGCATAAGAAATGCAGATAAATGCATTGAAGACTAGGTGAGAGGTGTGTAGCTACTGCAGGCTTCACTCAAATCGATGATACCTATACCAGCAGACTTGGCAAGCCAAGCAGGAAATTCACCTTGAGCTTCTGAATCAGCCGCAAACTGAAGGAGTGCTGTAGAACGAAAGTATTGGGCTCTTTCCCATGCATCGTGGATTTCGCACAAAATACGAGGTTCTACCAGCCCAATCATATGAAAAGAGCAGGAGAACCATGACACAAGTTTACTGTCAAGCAATTTGAAATATTGCTCAGATAGCACATCTACATCTGTTGAGAAAAAACAAAAAACTAAGCTGTGAACAGGAAATCCACCCGAAAGTTTATCGCTGGCGACCAAACAGCCACGCATCAGAAGACCACACGAAAGAGTAAGTCACCACGTACTCACTATTATCCATAAAAACAAACCGAAGTGACTGCCTGACTACGTGCCGTATAGTAAGAATGCACGTATCCACTAGAGTATTGAGAGTCCTCTGTTCTCCGCAAAAGGAGACGAATTCATAGTGACAGACCAAGAAGCATAGCCTTAGCGATAAGGGCAATTTGCTCTCATCAAGCCAACTAAGCGGCCAGCGCTCAAAACATACCGGCGGCGTTTAGACAAGAGGCTGGGCAAAGTTGAGCAGGCCAATCTGAGTAGAAACGGGCACCTTCAACGCACCGACAAAGCACAGTTCAGCGAAAACGTCATGTGGACGCTCAAAAAGTTCAAACGTCCCGCCAAAAATGAAAATCAGTGCAGACCAAAGCATGGGACAACGCGCCACGCTCTCAACCACACCGCGCTCCAACCCGCAAGTAGTTGCACTCACTGCCACCGTACACAGACATACAG